CAGGATAGCGTCCATAAGTGCACTCACGGCTTCAGAATTCTTGATTGGAGTTCCTGCTGAGGTGAGAAAATCACGAGCCCACCATATAGGGCCAAAATCATGGGCTATACCAAAAGCATAGCGAGAGTCTGTATAAATATTAGCAGTCTTACTAGAAGCCATTTTACACGCTTCAGCAAGTGCCTTCAGCTCTGCCTCCTGTGCAGAGCAGTGAGGAGCGAGTGGTTCAGCTTTTATTACCTCATGTGCAGAGACTACAGCATATCCAGTGTGGAAATTACCCTTCTCATCAGCATATCTGGAACCATCTACAAAAACTCAAAATCTGCATTAGATAATGGAGAATCAATTACATGCAAAAAACCTGCTGTCTCTTGTGCCATTAGTGCTGCACAATCATGGGGTACCTGGGCATCAGCTAACTCATCTTGTGAAAGTGAATTTACAAAAAGATCAGAAGTACAAGTACCATTCACACTATCCCCACTCCCCTCTTTTAAATCCAGGGATAGCAATGTAGATGGATTTAACACCGTACACCTTTTAAGAGTAACATTAGGTGGCATAAGCAAGGCACATTGCATTCTGAGATGCCTTGCAGTATGTATGTGTTTTGGTTGAACTTGTGAGAGTATGCTATTGGTCTTTGTTTACCACCATGATCCTGTGTAAGGACAGATGTAGCCATGGGCGTCCGCAGGAATTTTTCCGGGGGGGGCATAATTGTAATGACATCCATGCTTGGTACCTTTTTGACAGTGTCATGAAAGGGAAGGGGCATAGCCATTATCACATAAAACCAGGGTGAATAGCGTTTTCACAACTATGGTGTCAGGAATATATGTTTGTATTCCTGACACTATAGTGTTCCTTTAAGCAAATTAAAGGACCATTCTGGTCACCATAACAACTTCACCTAAATAAAAATGCTATGATGCCAGGAAGCCCCTGGGTGCTCGCTTTCCTTTAAGGGGTTAAATCGCTCTCAAATGGTTTAACCCCAAAGGCTTCCTCCAGCTCCAGGTCGCTCAGTGGTATTTGGCTTCTGAAACAGAGTGTCAGGAAGTGCAGATTGACGTCAGGCATGGGTGCCGCTGATTGGCTAGAGTGGACAGTTGACGCTCTAAGCCAATCGCTAGTTCCCGGTTCATAAAATATTTTTACTTTTTTATGAATGGGGAGCTACTGATTGGCTTAGAGTGCCAGCTGACCGCTCTAGCCAATCAGCAACACCCCTACCCAACGGCACTCTGTGCTTCCTGACACTCAGTAAATAAAAGTGAACACATTAATACTGATATTTTTTACCTTTGGAGATGAGAAGGTCCAGCGCTTCCCTGCCTGGCCCAGGTACCAAAGCCTTATGATGTGGTGTCCAGAATAAAGTGGAGGGTTCACTTCATTTGTCCTTCCTGCTTCAATCTCCTTTTCCTCTCCTTTATTTGACAGTCTTTTTTTGCTTCTGACACTGTTTTCTATCCTTGGCCCCTTCTGCTCTTTCTGCTTATTTTGCACCATTCTGCTCCTTTCTCATTCTGATCCCTTTCTGCTCCTTGCAGACCATTTCTGCTCCCTTTTCTACTTTACCTTTGTGCTCCTTGCTGTCCCTTTCTGCTCCTTTTCCTACTTTACCTTTGTGCTCCTTCTGATTCTTTCTGCTCTTTTACCTTTGTGCTCTTCCTGCTCCTTGCAGGCCCTTTCTGCTCATTCTCCTATTTTACCTTTGTGCTCCTTCTGCCCCTTCCAGCTCATTTCTGACCCTTTCCGCTCCTTCTACTTTACCTTTGTGCTGCTTTACCTTCCAGCTCCTTGCTGATCCTTCTTGTTCATTTCTGTTCCTTTGTGCTCCTTCTCCTACTTTACCTTTTGTGCTCTTTGCTGTCCCTTCCAGCTCCTTGCTGCCCCTTTCTGCTCCTTGATGTCCCTTCCTGCTCATTTCTGTTCCTTCTCCTTTTCTTACTTTACCTTCCTGCTCCTTGCTGACTCTTCATGTAGGCTGACCCCCCATCTCTCACTTCCATAGGCGTGCGCACGGGGTGTGTTGTGTGTGCATGGGCACACCCTAATCCCTGCGGCACGCCAATGGATTGAGACCGGCAGGGGAGATCTCTGGATCTCCCCGGTCGGCTCATGCAGAGCCGATGCTATCCGAGCGGCGGCTCTGGTCTAAGCCTCCATGGGCCGGTGGGGAGATCAAAGTTCTACCTCACCGGTCCACAGCAGCATGGAGGGAGGCAGCAGAGAACCCGGGCTAGAGTTCACTCTCCACTGAACCACCAGGGAAGGCAGCAGGACTGGGATATTAACTAATCTGCCCCACCTCCACCCAAACACACAGCACACACACACAGCACCTACACACAGCACACACAGCCCACAAACAGCACCCACACACATACATCACCCTCGCACACACAGCACCCACACACATACAACACCCACACACACCCAGCACACTAACGGCATCCTCACAAACACACAAAACCCACACACAACACCCGCACAGCACCCAAACACAAACAGCACCCTGACAAACACACAGCACACAAACAGCACACTAACAGGACCCGAACAAACATGCACACAAAAACACCCTCTCACACACACACAGCACACTACCAGTTCCCTCACACACAGCACACTACCAGCACCCTCACACACACACACAGCAGTGTGTATATATATATATATATATATATATATATATGTATATATATTGTCAGGGTATTTATATCGGCAGTGTATATTCTGAGTCACTCTGAACAGACCAGACTCCATTTTGTTATTTTCAAGTTAACAAAAGACACAAGATTCCTATCTGTAAAACTAACCACTTTCCCAGAGCTGAAGGAATGCATAGTATATACAAACCAAGTGATAAGGAGAACGGGGGTTGGACAGACTGTCTAAAATGTTAATGGAATAGATGTATATCTAAGCACAGACATTTGTGACAGAGGAGATTAAATAATAAAATTTTACTTTCTATATGTACAAGGTCCCATTGTAAGTTACGGGTCAAAACTCAGAATTTGCCAGACACATAGTCTGGACAAAACTTAAAGAAACTGTTTGAAGTGACAGAAAATCTAAGTTATAGCAAACATAAAGATAACGCAAAATGACGTCAAAATAGCCACCAGGAAAAGTTAACTCTTTCCTGGATAGGTATGTTTAGTGGGACAAGACTGCCCTCTATAGATCAAATAACTAAATTGCGATCTGGAAGATAACCACACCCCCAGTATTGCTATTGGGTTATCAACTGATGACGTACAGAGAGTCTGGCCCTTTAAAAGTTAGGACAAAGGAGGTAGACGAGGAATGCAAGGGTATGCAAAGAAAGCAAAGAAGTGAGCAGTGGGGAGCAATGACACTCTAGGACACTCAACTGGTAATTATACTGGTTTCATTTAATTAATTAAATTAATTAAAATGAACTAATAGCATGATATATGGCTGGATAAATCACGGTCAGATTTCCATATTAAGAAATCTTAGTTAACTAAGGAATATATAGTTATAAACATTCCATTCTGCAGGTGGAATTAAGAATAATTATATATTGATGTGATATTATCACATGTTAGCATACCGCTGCTTTTATCCAGGTGTATTGATTTGCTCTAATATAAGATAAGATATCTTTTAGACAAATTAAATTCTGCTTATATAACATGGTAGATTCTCTTATTTGATGGTTCCAGGAAATGACTAATGAACTGGTTTAAATGTTATTTTATTTAAAATTACATAAGAATAGATCTTAATTACCTAGGAGATCTAGCCAGCATTGAAAGGGTTATTCTAACTGTTAACCAGGATTTTATGGCCCTTCGCTTTCTCTCTGTGTAAGGATTAGTGATGTACCGAACGGTTCGCCGGCGAACGGTTCCTGGCGAACATAGCATGTTCGCGTTCGCCACGGCGGGCGAACATATGCGCGGTTCGACCCGCCCCCTATTCGTCATCATTGAGTAAACTTTGACCCTGTACCTCACAGTCAGCAGACACATTCCAGCCAATTAGCAGCACAGCCTCCCTAGCAGACCCTCCCACCTACTGGACAGCATCCATTTTAGATTCATTCTCAAGCTGCATGCTTAGTAAGAGGAGGGAAAGTGTAGCTGCTGTACATAAGATAGGGAAAAGCATAGCTAGGTTAGGGATAAGGGTATGCTTTTTTTGGATTTTTTTTTTCTATCTAATGTAAATGCACTTAGTTGTCTGCCACTGCTGCCAGCTTCTGTGTCAGGCTCACAGTGCCCATTTCCCAGTCAGTGCCACCAATTACATCTGGTGTCACAATAGCTTGGATTTAAAAACAAAAAACTTTTTTCACTGTTATAGATTGAATAGCAGTCAGTTGTCTGCCACTGCTGCCAGCTTCTGTGTCAGGCTCACAGTGCATACTGTGCCCATTTCCCCAGTCAGTACCACCAATTACATCTGGTGTCACAATAGCTTGGATTTAAAAACAAAAAACTTTTTTCACTGTTATAGATTGAATAGCAGTCAGTTGTCTGCCACTGCTGCCAGCTTCTGTGTCAGGCTCACAGTGCATACTGTGCCCATTCCCCAGTCAGTGCCACC